GATATGTGCTCGATAACCAGTAGACTTAGCACTTCAGTGATTAATGCCTCGAGAACGTAAATGACCACTTGGTTACTTCTGCAGTGGCCGCGCACAAACATCAAACAGGCTGTCGATAATAACTGGAGGTGTGCAAAATAGGATCGAAAGATCTGGCACAGCTGTGTCCGGTAAGTGGAAATGCTCCGTAACAATCACTGTTATATGGTTCCCATATCGACTCTCTAGCGATGTGGCTGATAGTAATTAAAAATCATTGGCAACGCGCACTGGGCTGGCCCGTGTGATTATGCGTTTTTGCGATATTTTGCGCCGTAATGAGATCGCTTGGAAATCCGGTAACTAAAAATGTGTGACATAGTGGTCCTCGAAGTTGGGAAATTAATTGCCTATGCGGCAGTTGGACAAGGAACATTTCGTTGAAATTTCAGCTTTCCAAATTTTCTCCTTAAGTTAGCAATTTTCCTGCCAAAAATATTCACGAGGCCGTACTTGACAACCACGCATGCCAAGGGGGCTGAATTTGATAAATTTAAGCCGTACATGGGTTGGGAAAATTTTCTGAAAATTTCAGCCCCCGGGCTTTCCTGGTTCCCGAGTTATCCATTTCCGCGCCAAAAACTTTCACGAGGCCGTAGGAGTCAATCACGCATGCCGCGGGGGGAGGGGGGTGAGCTTGATAAATTTAAGCCGTACATGGGTTGGGAACATTTCCTGAAAGTTTCAGCCTTCGGACTTTTCTGGTTCCCGAGTTATCCATTTCCGCGTCAAAAAATTTCACGGGGCCGTGCATGAAAACCACTTGCACTGAGAGGCTAAATTTAATAAATTTAACTTGTACTTGAACTGGGAAAATTACCTGAAAATTTCAGCCTTCCAGCTTTCTTGGTTCCTGAGTTAGTCATTTTCGCACCAAAAAAATTCACGGGGCCGTACGATAATCACGGTTGCCTGGGGGCTGATTTTGTTAAATTTAAGTTGTACATATTTTGTGAACATTCCCTGAAAATTTCTGCTCCCCAGCTTTCCTGATTCCCATGTTAGCGATTTTCGTGCTAGGAACTCTTACGGGGCCATACGCGGGAACAACACACGCCTGTAAGCTGAATTTGAAATCTTTGAGTTCCATGAAGATGGGAGACATAATTTCAAAATTTCGGCTTTCTAGCTTTCCTGGTTCCCGAGTTAGCAATTTTCCCGCCAAAGCTTTCACCTTCTCGTACGCGGGGCCCAGACTTGCATGAGGGTTGATACCACGGTCCTGGGGTGGCACTTGGCCGGGGAACCCGCCAGCAAAATTTTGAAGCCGGAGTTTGCTTGGGTGCCGAGTTGAAATATCCGGACAAACACACACAACGGGGTCGTCACAATATGCGTTTTTGCATTTGCTTGTAAGCAAAAACGCATAATTAGAATTGTGAGGAAAATAATTTCAGTCTAAAAGTAATTACTTGGGTTTTGGGTTGTCCAATGTTTGGATCACTATCGATAATGGATGAGAATTCGTTGAGCGTGATCTTGCCATCATGATTGAAATCGGCTACCTAAATGAAATTTGCTCAAATTTACGAGTCCTTTTCATTCCAGCTACTAATGGATTTACATGCCTTTTGAGCATGTAAGTATTTGTGCATTTCCTTGATTGCTAGATTACTTGTATGCTTACTGTTTTTACCTTTCTTGCTCGCTTGCTGTTGTTTTTTCTGCTTTTACTTATTTGTTTAGCTGTTCTTGCTGAGGCGAATATCAAACCTGGAAAATTCCATCAATAACTTCTTTGCTGATGCCAACATTGCCCGAATCCAGTGCTTCGGTGGGTGTTATTGCTCCATCACCATTTTTATCAACACGCTGCAATAGTGGGAAAAAAATTCGAAGTTTTTTTTCAGACGCTAGGGTCTCTTTCTACTGCTTAAATAACATCGAACGAGCAAACCGAAGATGCCAAGGCAGCTACAAAAGAAAACACTGACGTCGTTGAACGTCATTAATCGTACAGGGAGAGTTGACCAAAACTTGCCTTACCGGAGCCTAACTCATTGGCTGTAGGGTCGTCGGTGATGCTCGACCCAACAGCACCAGTTTTTCCTCATGCCATTGAGAAAAAATTGAAACACATAACTTTATATTACAAAACTAAGACATACGTGCATTTCGGCTTCTGTACGTGTTTTTTGTGCCGGACTGATCTGGACTGGGAAAAATGTTTTTCATAGGGGAATTGTTTTTCTTGTGAAGGTACCGGAGGACAAATGGAGAAGTGACCCAATAATAGCAGAACCGTAGGAATGTCGGGCATTGCTGGTTTGTCGATATTGTTCATATGTTAAAATTATATCAGGCAAAATCCCAAGCTGGATCGCACCAGGCTCTTCGGTGCGATCATGCGTTTTTGCACAAAACTCGCAGATCGCTATTAGCAAGAATGGTCCCTACGCTGTAGCCTAACACTTAGGTCATATTGGCTGTGCTTTGATTCTTTCCGGCATGCAGGGGGAAGGGCGTCAGTTGGGATGAAGGTGATGCATTATAGAGCAGCACGGACATCCAGGTACATGATTACCGGTTTTTTGCATGAAGTCCGGTCGTTTTTTCGGTAAATGCTCGCTTTCGAAAAAATGACAAAAGCAAATTTTTCGAAAAAATGCAAATTTCCAGTTCACTAAAAAGTGGAAGTGTTGCTCGAGCGGTCGTTTGTCAAAAAATCCATGTTCATTTGCATATACAATTGCGGTTCAGGTCCGAGTTGCTAACGATTTTTGGGGCTAGGCTGTGGTTGGGGAGCTAGAGAGCTGAGCTTAAAATTTTTATCTCGCACGTGCATAGAGAATATCCCTGCAAAGTTTCAGCTTTTTACGTTGCCTGGTTCGAGAAATCGTTTCCCGCCAACATATTTCTTTGGGGGTCCAGTACGCGTGGTCTAGGCGCGTATGGGGAAAGATCTTAAAATGGGAAGATGACACACGGGGCCTCCCAGCTTTCCTGGTTGCTGATATGAAAGTGGGTGACAAAATGCACTCGCTTTCCGAACACACACACGCACATACACACAGACAGCCTCTCGACAATATGCGTCTTTGCTGGCTGTAGCAGCTGCTATAGCGCTACACAGTAAAAAAGCGTAAAAAAGGAAAAATTTTCTGGGGCGGATAATTGTTCATCCATAAAAAGTTCGGTTTCAAGAAAATTTTGCCTTTCGTTCTTCTGTGTGTTGAGGACAAGCCGCTCTTATAGCGCAATTTAAAGTCGGGATAGAATGTTTTTTGTACTCGAACGCTTAAAGACATTATTGTTCGGTTTCTATTGTAGTAAGTGAAAGCAGAATTAATAGATGTGTGCAGAAGGCGAGGGTGCCACCTTGAAAAGCTGTTCACTTTGTCGGATTGGTTTGCGCATCAGCAGTAACGCCATTGGTACGAATTCGGCGATGCTCAGTGCGCCATTGCGGTTTTTGTCGTACTGTTGAAAGTAGCTTTTTAGTTTGCTAGCGTCTGTGTTGCTAGTTTCGGCACTCCTCTTGTACCATCGCTCTAGCTCTGCGTACGTAACACGTCCATCCTGGTCAGTGTCGATTTCGTCGAACCGCACTACTGCAATGGCATTGGTGAAGCAAACATCCCTAATTGATATTCAACTGGTTTTGCCAGCGATGAGGGTAGAGGAAAAACTGACGCTAAGTAACTGCGCATCTTGTAAAATCTGATGCCCTTTGCAGCGTTCTCAGCGACGCTTTTGCAGTTTTTGCATTTACCTGCCTAACTTCTGGAGCATTCAAAATTAGCAGTCCGTCATCGATTCACCATTTTCTGCAACAACGTCGCCTAGAGAAGAAAAGCAATAAGAATCCGAGCGTCTGTAATCAAAACGCAACGAAGTGTTCAGTCGGCTAGTTCGAGATCACAACCAAGTGGCTATGCTTCGATCAGTCCGCCGTGAATATAAAACATCTAAACTAAAAAAAACTTGGAACCTACGATGTCAAAGAGTAGTATCAAAGAGTATATACTCTGCGACATTTTGAGTGAGCAAGAAATTTGATAGTGAGTGAAAGCTGGTAATAACAAGTTTACCGTCTTAAACTCGATACCCCTTTTTATTGCCGAAGGCAGCACACCGGAATTTTTTTTTTTAATGTAAATCCAATTGATCTTACACGTGCTCAGGCTGGTCAAGCTACGAAACCAAACTTTGCAGGAAAATTCTATCTTAGCACGTTTTTTAAATTCAGCTTCGAAGCTAAATTCTCCGCACGCGACACAACAGATGAATGCACTCATTTGTAGCCCGAGCAGTTCAGTAAACGTTCATCAGTCTCTAGGCTCATAACTCTCTCAAGGCTTATAATAAATTATTTCCTCCCGTGAATAGCTCGGAAAGTAGTTGAAAGCTATATCGATTTACATCATAACGTTATAGATGGAAATGATTTTTCCTGGCATCCTTCGAATCATTTCATTCAGCTCGGACCTCAGTATGATTACATCTCCACTGCAGTATTTCAGAATCTGCCAAATGAAGAACCCAGGCTGAAACGCACCAGGCTCTCCGGTGCGATCATGCGTTTTTGCACTAAACTCGCAGATC